GGGGGGGTTCAGGGTTTCTCTGTGTAGCTTTGCATCCTTCCTGGAACTCACTCTGTAGCCCAGGATGGCCTCGAACTGAGAGAGATCCGCTTGCCTCTGCCTCCCGAGTGCTGGGATTAAAGGAGTGTGCCACCACTGCCCGGCTTTAGCCCATCATTTTTGTATGCACTGGTGGGTTTTGTCTGAAACTGTTCATTATGTGGTTCTATTAGTGGGTACCTTGGATTTCTTCTTCACAAATGGAATTTTTCTGTAAAAAGGATGGCACACCTGTAATTCTGGCATTTAGGAGGTTGAGGCAGGAGAATTGCTGTGGCAGCGACAGGCCCCACCATCACAGACAGACAGACAGATACGCAGAGATAGACAGACGCACGCACGCACGCACGCACGCACGCACGCACGCACGCACAGGGAAGTTAAAGCTGCTAAGGTGACTCAGGGAGTAAAGGTACTTGCTGCCAAGCCTGACGACCTGAATTATCCCTGCATCTCACTGGTGGCGGGAGAGAACTGATTTCTGCAAGTTGTCCTCTGACCCTGATATGTGGACTGTGCCCCCCTCCCTGCAAATAAATAAATGTAAATGACAAAAATAATTTTAAGCTGTGTAAGTAAACTGCAAGAACTCTGGGTTTGGTGTCATGGGTTTCGGCACCAAATGTAAGTAAATTGATGGCTGAAACTGCAAGGAGACAGTTCAGCCCTAGAGGGCGAGGAATCCCGGTCACCTCGAGCTACTTAGGACAAGAGCTCTGCCCTGAAGGTGTGAAGCTGTTTAGCACAGCTCTGATGGCTGAGACTGCAAAGAAACAGCCCCACCTTGGAAGGGAAGGTTTTCTGACTTCTCGGTAGAATCAGGCCTGGAACTTCAGCAAGGAAGGGTAACCTGACTCTTCGGGAAAGTCAGGGTATCCTGACTCTTTGGGAAGGTCAAGATATACCTGGTATGATGGTATGATGGGGAATGGTTTCCCCGCAGGACACAGCAATCCGTCTCCCCTCCTGGAGAGCCACAATCTCTGGCTCAGTGTTACCAGCTCTTTCTTGCTCAGTTCACTATGGGACGTCCCAGTAAGGTTCTTCTGTTCAGCTCCCCTTTGCTCAGTCCATTATCGGACATCCCAGCAAGGTTCTTCTGTTCACCTCTCAATGAAGGTCTTCACCCAATACTCTTTTGAGAAAGAGGTTTATTTGGGAAGGAGGAGTCCAGGAGAGTAGCTGCCTCTACCAGGGTGGAGAAAACAGCTCACAACAGACGGTTTATATAGGGTGTCTAGGGGGCGGAGTCAACTGTGATTGGTTAGTTTATTTTTTGCCCAGGGATTGGCCAGTTTTGTGAGCAAGGGGCAGAGATGGCCCTCATTTCAGGGCCAAACTGTGTTTCTTTCACTGGCCTTTCTTGACTTTTTGACACTCTAAGGCCAGGGCACATTTCATTCACTGACTCTGATTCTAGCGGCCAAGTGTGTTTCTTTGGTCCTGGTTTCAGAGTCAGGGCATGTTTCCTTTGTTCATTTCTCTGGCCCAGGTCCCAAACACAGGCTGTGTTTCTTTCCCTGGTCCTGGGCCCTAGGGCTAGGATTCTGCTGTCCTGATCTGTGATTGGTTGATTTCACAAGTCAGTTGGACAGGGCCAGAGATGGCTCTGATCTGAGCTAAACTGTGTTTCTTTCATTGGCTTTATCTGAGCCATCCTTCCCTAATTCTGGGCTCCAGGGTCAGGGTGGATTTCTCTAGCCAGCCCCTTTTCCCTACAAGCTGGGCAGTGGTTGCGCACGCCTTTAATCCCAGCACTCGGGAGGCAGAACCAGGCAGAACTCCGTGAGTTCAAGGCCAGCCTGGGCTACCAAGTGAGTTCCAGGAAAGGTGCAAAGCTACACAGGGAAACCCTGTCTCGAAAAACCAAATAAATAAATAAAAATAATTTTAAAAGAGTCTTCGTGAGTGAAATTGTGATATTATTTCTACCACAAATTATTTCTTCCATAGAATGCTTCAGTGAGCCTTCTGATCTTGGAATTTTCTTGTACAAGGGTTTAACCCTACAAATTAAAAAAAAATTTTAATCAATTTTAAAAGATTTATTTATTGTGTGAGAGGTGGTTCTTTCCTTCAATCATGTGGGCCCTGGGATGGCATTCAGTTTGTTAGGCTTGGTGACAAGCATCTTCACCCAGTTGAAACATCTCATTGGCCTGAAATTGAGGTTTTTTTAGTAGATAATAGGGTTTTCAATGATCTCCTTTCCTTTTTCTTCCCTTTTCTCTTTCATTTGAAACATACTTTACTGCATTTTAATGTATTACCGTGTGTGTGCATGCACGCGCGCTTGTACAAGAGTGTGCTTATGGAGGTCAGAGCCCAGCCTGCAGGAGTCTGCCCTCTCCTTCCACCGTTTATGACCAAGGGCTGGAACTCAGGTCTCTTTGCAACAAGTCTGTTCACCGACTGACCTATCTCGCTGTTCCCTTCCTTCCCTCCCTCTTTCCCTCTTGTTTAAAGTGTGTGTGTGTGTGTGTGTGTGTGTGTGTGTGTGAACACAACATGTCTGGAAGTCAGTGGACAGCTTGTAGGCTACAGGGATTGAACTACTCAGGTTGTCAGACTTGGCAGAAAGTGCCATTGCTCACTGAACCACCTTGGAGGCTCCTTTATTAAAGAAAGAGGCGATCTCATTAGGCACTGCAGGTCTGTCAACTTGCTCCACATTCGATAATCTGTTCTCTCCCTTTGCCCCTCTTGTATTGTAGTTTGCGAAGGGTTTGTCATGGAGCTCAGGCTGGACTGGTCCTTGGTCTGTAGCTGAGGAGGATAGTTATGGCCCTGCTTCTGCCTCCTGAGTGTTGAGGTTACAGACGTGTGTCACTGCCCCTTGCTTCCCGTGGTTCTGGCGAATCTGAGGCAGGGCTTCCTGCGTGCAAGGCACACTACCATCTGAGCCATATGTACAGCCCAGTCCAGCTCTTCTTGAGTGACCTTTGACTGGTGATGTCTCTCAAGATGTTTCTATTTCAGTTAATTTACTCAAGTTTATTGACACAGAATTACTCGTAATAGTCTTTTCTTTTCCCAGTGTTAGGACTGAACCCAGAGCGTCAAGCATTTGAGCATTCTGGCAGGAGCTCCACTACCTGGCTGCTCCCCAGGCTCTCTGTAAATGTCTGTGAGACCTGTAATGAAGTCTGTTCTTTCGTTCCTCATTCTGATCATTTGTCTTTGTACTCTTGGAAGTGTTCGTAGTCCTTTTGCTGAGCCTTCTCTCTCTCTCTCTCTCTCTCTCTCTCTCTCTCTCTCTCTCTAAACATATTGTCACTATGTAGTACTGGCTGTCTTAACTCACCAAGGTCTGCCTGCCTCTGCCTCCCAAGGGCTGGGATCAAAACTGCTGAGACTTTCACCTTTTTTTCCCTTTGGTTGAGGCTAGGTTTCTCTATGTAGCCCTGGCTGTCCTGCAACTCACTATGTAGACTAGGCTGGCTTTGATCTCAGCGATCCACCTGTGTCTGTCCCCCTAGTGATGGCACTGAAGGAGTTCACTACCATGTCCAGCCTAGTGTTATCTGTTATGACCAGTACCGTAGTACTGTTACCAGCTCCATAATAAACCACCATTGCTACATCATGGTGTGTGGTTTTCAAAGTCAGACAGCAGGCAGATTGGTTTCCTTCCACTGTTGGTTTAGGGCGGAGTTCCTAGAGAAGTTGTTTTGGAGATTCTGGTGACGTTCTTCTTGGTGTATTTGCAGAAGAACAAGAGAATGAAGAAAGTGATAAAAGGAAAAAAAAAAAACACCAAAAAGGCTATTGTCTTTGTTAGAGTTTCTAATACTGTAAAGAAACACCATGACCATATCAACTCTTATAAAATGAAACATTTATTTGGGTGGCATACATTTTCAAATGTTTAGTGTTGTTTTTAACTAAGTTTCTATTGTTCTATTTTATCAATAAAGACTGGGGAACCAGATGCTGGGGTGAAAAACCTGCTAGCTCAGAGAGGCAGAGAAAACACCTCGCTGCTTCCTCTTCCTCCCTTTTCCCAGGAAGAGAGCTTTCTCTTATGCTGTCTCGAATAAGACTTCTCTGACTGGTTGTCCCTCCCATCTACTTCCTGTGCATCTCTCTCTCTTTCCCTTTCCCTCTCCCCCTCTCTCTCTGTCTGTCTCTCTCCTTCTCCCTCTCTCTCCTCCTGATTTCATCTTACTTTTTATGGTTATTTCCTGTCAACTTGTAGCTTACTCCACCTTTTGACCTAAGGTTGATTTTATTTTATCTTGTTTTCAATATTCAAGCAGAAAGCTCTTCGATTAAAGGTGTGTTGTGATATTTTCTCTGTACTCTAACAAATAAAGCTTGCCTGGCAATCAGAGTGTGGAGCTAGTCACTGGAGGCCAGGCAGTGGTGGCACACATCTTTAATCCCAGCACTTGGGATCTCAAGCCTTTTATCCCAGCACTTGAAAGGAAGAAACAGGAAGTGATATGGCTGGGATGAAAGAGGAAGTGACAAGGCAAGGTGGAGACAGGACTCAGCCCCTTTCAGACTGAGGACTTGGTAAAGTAAGAAGTGGCTGTGCCTTGCTCCTTTGTCTCTCTGATCTTTTAGCATTTACCTCTATATCTGACTTCAGGTTTTTATTATTAAGACCAATTAGAATTCGTGCTACATGTGACATCCAAACGTTTGGCAAGAATTTCCACATAAAACCTGAGAAGCTTAAAAAAAGGATTCTAAACACACAAAAACGGAGTCAAATGAAGATTCTTGGTAACCATCTTTTCTCAGGTAGGCTCTGTTTGCTAGCAGAGAGCAGAGGTGTGGCTCCTTTTAGAGATGACTTCCTCTTGATTCAGCTTTAGTGGCAAAAACTTCATGGCTTTTTTTGTTTGTTTGTTTGTTTGTTTTTGGTTTTTTGAGAAAGGCTTTCTCTGTGTAACAGCCCTGGCTGTCCTGGAACTCACTCTGTAGACCAGGCTGATCTGGAACTCACAGAGATCTCCCGAGTGCTGGGATTAAAGCATCCAGAGCCCTGATACCAAACACTTAGATGGAGTTTATGAGATGTGGGTGGCACACTACTCAGTAGCAGTATGGACCCAAAAACTTCTCAAGAGTTGGAGCGGTAAATACGACTTTCACAGCTTTAGTCTTAGCCATGCCAGCTTAGCATCTTAAATGTTCATGTGATCAGAAAAAGATAGATATATGCAGTAAAGACAGATTCAAAAACAGCAACAACAAAACCCCTCTAAGCTGGTTACAGTGTGTTTAAAAATATACATAGGCTTGAGAGAGTAACAGAAGCTATAGACAGTCATAAGAAAGAAATAGTTTCAAATAGTTTAAAAAAAGAGTAAAGTAATATTTTTTTAAAAAGCCACGCAAAGATGGAAAATACACAGCGAGTCTGGATATTGTATGTTATTGTGTTGTCTTTGAATTGTTTGACAGCTGAATAAGGAGAAATAGTTGCTAAGGGACATTTGATTATAAATATTGCTGGGCTGGATCTTGGTCAGAATGCCTTTAATTCCAACACTTGAGAGGCAGAGGCAGGTGGATCTCTGTGAGTTCAAGGCCAGTTTGGTCTACAGACTGAGTTTCAGAACAGCCAATGCTGTTACACAGAGAGAGCCTTTCTCAAAAAACCAAAAAGAAAAAAAATGAATGTTGCTGAATTAATCCAACGTATATATTTTGAAAAAGCTTTGACTTCAGAATTTAAGTCAAAAGAATCGTTACTTTGGAGAAGAGGTTATGCTTTTATTTTCACTGGAAATGAGAGACTGTGGATTCATTCTTTGTGAAGAAAAGTCAGATTTAGCCAGGCTGTGGTGGCGCACGCCTTTAATGGCAGCATTTGGGAGGCAGAGGCATATGAAGCTCTCTGTGAGTTTCAGGCTAGCATGGGCTACAAAGTGAGTTCCAGGACATTTAGGACTGTTATACAGAGAAACCCTGTCTCAGATTTGATGGAGGAAGACCCCTGAACAATCTCCAATGGGAACAGATGGCCCAGATGATCCAACATTTCAGAGCATCACTGTTTCAGTTTCCTCTGAGTTATGCATCCAGAAAGGCTTTAAGACTGCTGGCTGAGATGATTCAGCCTCACAAACTACTCCAGTCAGGACTTGACCATAATTCTAAATTTTCTCAGGGTCCTCATAAGATTAACAGCACCCCCAATCAGCAGGAAGTAGCCTAGAAAAATATGCCCACATTCCCAAAAATGGATTATGGATGTTTGTCTTTGTTTAGGACATTTGGTTACAAATTGTTATTGGTCATAGTCAATCTTCTAGAAGAAGAAGGAGGGATATAATATAGAAATGATGGGGAGAAAAGGGTAGATTATTAAATCTACTTTAATCAAAAAAGGTACCAAGCCACTGAGAAAAGGTACCAAGTCACGTGGCTAAATATAGATAATAATTATTGGTTAATTTAAGTGTAAGAGCTAGTTAGTAATAACGATGAGCTACCAACTGAGCATATATATGTCATATAAATCCTCTCAGTCAATTATTTGGGAAGCTCTGCTTGGTATTTGGGAACAGGCAGGTGGGAGAGAAATTCCCGCCTACAGTGTGTTCTAGGGCTGAGCCTAACCACAGCTAGAGCAGGTTTTTCCAGTAAATAATACAATCTCTAGGTTCAGAGTATGGTATTTGAGCATATATTAGACCTCAAAGCCTGTATCCACAGTGACACACTTCCTCCAATAAAACTACAGTTGCTTGAACAAGGCCACACCTCCTAATAATGCCATTCCCTTTATGGATCATTTATTTTCTTTTTTTGTTTGTTTTTTCGAGACAGGGTTTCTCTGTGTAGCTTTGCGCCTTTCCTAGAACTCACTCTGTAGACCAGGCTGGCCTTGAACTCACAGAGATCCATCCGCCTGGCTCTGCCTCCTGAGTGCTGGGATTAAAGGCGTGCACCATCACCGCCTGGCGGATCATTTATTTTCAAACCACCACAGGTACCAAGAGGAAACGAGATGGAAAGGGCCAAGAACAAGGGACAGTGGCACATGACCTGAAACTGGATGACGTGCTCGATCGTACCTTAGAGGATGGTGCTAAGCAGTACAATCTGACAGCAATCAATGTACGGAATATCCTGCATGTGAGTAGCCATGGGCAGCTGTGTCGTCAGCCTAGAATCTTCCCAGCGAGTACAAATAAGTAGACTTGTAAGTCCCTTGACTCCTGGTACTGAATTAGCAATTTTGTCAGTTAAGTGTGACAAAATGTTTTATATCTAAGGATACGTTCTCTTTGCTCTCAGTACAAGTGAGAAGTCTGAACAGGTGTTGAGAAGATGAACTACCTGTATTTCCTTCCACTGGTTTGATCAATAAGATTCCTAGTCAGCAAAGCATCCATAGTAGTTAGTAGTGTTTTGTTTTGTATATCATGTGTGAAGACTGCCTTTGAGAGCTAGCAGACTATTTGCTTAGCACGCACAACAGGCAAGGTTAAAAAAAATGCCTTTGATACATAGTTCTCTTCCAACTCTGACCTGGGCCTGCAGATTTTCTGTCCCAGCAGCAGGTAATGAACAGGCCATTTGCCGCAACACTGTTTCAAGGCTTGCTTCTGCCTTCTTGATCCGTAGTTGCTTTTATTGAACTCAGTTTGAGGATCTAGCTTCTGCTTATCTTCCACAAAGGTCTAGTGGCAATTCCACAGAGATGAATATTGTCCAGATGACAAATCTCGTGGCATAAGTGGGCTTTTTCTCCCTCCTCCAGGAAGTCATCACAAATGAACATGTTGTAGCCATGATGAAAGCTGCCATCAGTGAGACAGAAGACATGCCATTGTTTGTGAGTAGCCCCCCCCGTCACTCTTTCCATGTCGTGGGAACTTTCCAACGTGGGAGATCATGTGGAGTTTGCAAGGAACTTGGCACATCTCAGACTGGAAAATTCCCATGG